AGAGGACGTGGAGGTGAAGAAATAGGATGAAGAGGACGACAAGGACAAGGAGGAGCAAGAGGAAGACAAGGAGGGGGGAGAGGAAGACGAGGAGGGGGGAGAGGAAGGGTAGGAAGAGTAAGAAATAGAATTGCTGATGACATCAGAGCTACAATAGTGGACCATGTAATCAACCGTGGAATGACCCTGAGGGTAGCTGGCCAACAGGTCCAGCCTAACTCGAGCCGCTACACTGTAGCAAGCACCATAAGGACATCTTGAAATGAGAATCGGTTAGTACAGTCACTTTGCACAAAGATTTGTAGCACTGCCATATGCCAGTGAGAAACACACCAATACCATTGATGTAAAAATACTGAAATTGTTACTTTACAGAATTGCTAGATGACCAGATGCTGGGGCAGAGGAAGCATGTTCACTGCAGACCAAGTAACCCATATAGTCATTATGGCGATTGCAAATAATCCTATACTTGGAAATAAACACTTGTGTTTGTTTTGATGTGTTTGAATAAACACCAGTACTTGAAGTTTGGATCCCTCTATGCTTATGGATCTATGACAGAAGTATGAGCTCAAACTAACATAGCCTACCTTGTGCACAGAGAAAGCAAAAGCCAGATGTGTTTTGCATCAGTGTGCAGTTGGCGCATTGTGTGCTTAGTAGATGATGGCTTGTGTGTACTGTTTGATACGGAAACACCATTTTTACGAAGGTGTGAAGAGTTAATCCAGCTGTGTTTGCTTTTGCAAGAGAACTACAATGTTTTGATTATTGGGTGACAGGTTTTCTTATTTGTGTGAAGAGTTTTGCAAAATTAGCCAATAGTTACAAAAAATGTGCTTAAGCATACAGAAAAAACTGTAAGAACAAGCATAAATGTAGTTTGACACTGCAGCAGGACATTTTTCAGCAAATCAACATTTAATGATGGTACTTTTAAGAATTTGACTTCATAAAGCATTACGCATTGTTAAGGATATGTTGTCTCCATTAAAGCAATGATTTTTTTTGCAAAATGAATTGCAAAAATAAATAAAACAGAAAAGGAGAAATATGATGCCAAACATTTGTTTCCAGTGTTGGTTATTAAAAAGCATTTCAAATGTAATAATGTCTGAAATATTTAGATTTCAAAGCTTTAGTATCTCAAACAGACACAGTTCCACAAGAGCTGATGAAAATTCAGCTGTCATGTAGATACCGCCCTTCCAGCAAACTTTAATTTTTTTTTTTTTTTACAGAGAAATGAAGAAGCTTCTGTAGTGTCAGCTGTGCAAAACAGCACTCAGCTGAAAAATGTTGAATTATTGTGAAAGGTTTTGTGATTTTAACATTTTGCTCTTGCAAATTTTTAATAGGCGCAGCCCTGTGTGGCTGTGCTGACACCCGAAAGCATAAAGAAATAGAAACTTATTCTCCATGTTGCTCTTTGGGACTTTTAAAAGTCAGTATCAGAAACTGTCCTCAACCTGAAAGGTCACAGATTTTCATCATTCCAACAGACAATATGCTCAGCAAACAGCCTTGTATCCTGTCAAAGTGTCCTTGAATAAGCCTCCGAACCCCTGCTTGCTCACTCACTGCGAGCCACTCTGAATATGAACATCAGCTAAATGCCTCAAATGCAAATGCATACTATTTTTCACTCAAATCAGATACAGCAAAAATGATGAAATTGTACCTCGTGGTAGTAATATTTTAGAGCCTATTTTTTCTCTGTTTGGAACCTGAACAGATTCATTTTATTTTCCTGCTCTGAAACGCTCGAATTTCCATGAAAACAGCATTTAGTAAATTAGCGAATGATCTTAATTATCTATTCCAATGAAATCTTGTTTTTCTTTTTTTTTTTACACCCAGATGTTTTACAATTAGAGCGCTCTGTAAGCAATCTAATTGCACTGTGTTTTTATTTGAAATCAATCAGATATATCACAAATTTAGACTGCTCGTTAGATGGTTTAGCTTATCAGTGGACTGCTTGCTCAGTTTATTGCAGCGCATTCCCTCACCATCCATCACATTTTAGCACCACTGATTATCCTGGCTGAAGATAATTACACAGCGTGTGGATACACTGCAAAGAGGAGCGCTAACGGTTATCGGCCACCTCGACAACAACTCTGGGAGGAGAGGGTGAAACAAGTGTCTGGCTCTGACCTCAGCATTACTACTGGGTCCGAATTTGTGATTTTGCCACAGAGTTTGTGCAAATGAGTTTCTAAATTTATGTTCAACCGAGCCACTCATAACTAGAAATGCTTTGCACATTGTTGTCTTTTGGGTAGTTCTGCAGTATTTCTTTCTTTTTTTTTTCTAAAATGTGAACTGGCTTTATTGTTCATTAAGTCCTGCCTGCTGCTTAAGGCTACTGAAATCAAAAAAACACTCGGCTGATTGTGAATGTGCAGTTTGTTGACAATTGAGCAACTGCTCAAAGGCTCCAGAGCATTTGTTCACCTTGGCTATGACCTTACAAATTAGAGCAATTTATCTTAAACTTCAGGTCTGTCAGAAATTAACTTCAAACAACACACAGCTGCCATTTCATGCCAAGAATCATTTTATGATAGCATATGACGCTATTTCCAAAACATTGGCTTGATTATTAAATAAAACAAGTGCAATCATTTGCAAATATTTTAAACCCAATATTTTTAGGTGAAATAATTCAAAGAAACATCAGATTTTTAAAATGAGAAATGTTATTGGCCATTTTAAAGCTGATACTAGAATGTCAGTGTTTGAGAACTGAGGGGATTGACTGGTGTAGCAAAACACATATATTTATATGATTTATCAGACCTATCTGGGTTTGTTTGTGAATTTACTGTAAATTATATCTGCTTTAGGGTGTGAAATGCTGACAGGCTGGTGGCAGCTACAGTATGTAAGAAAACATTATAAGCAATCAAGTTAATATTTCGGCCCCCAATTCTCTCTCCTCCAGCGCTTGCAATTAGTTCAAAATGCCGCAGCACGCCTCTTAACTGGCACTGGAAGGCATGATCACATCACCCCTGTCCTAGCCAATCTACACTGGCTCCTTGTCAAATACCGTATCGTTTTTAATCCTTTTGCATATTTATACAATTTTAATAACTTGGCGACTAGTTACCTAACCAACCCCATCGACATGTATAGCCCCAAGAGAGCACTTAGATCCTCTAACCAGCTGCTCTTAGTGCAACCAAGGCCCAACGAAAGACTAGAGCTTTTGCAAACGCTGCACCCAAACTCTGGAACTCTTCCAATCGATGTTGGCACGTAAGAATCCATACAATCGTTAATTTAACCTTTGAAGCAAATTAGTTCAGACCTCCACCCGGTCTGCATTTGTGCTACATAACTGTAAGTGTTACTGTAACTATAATGGTTTTTGTTGTCTTTTGTTGTAACCGCACTTGTGTGAAGCGCTTTGATGGATACAGGTCCTTTTTAAATGTGCTATAGAAATAAACATTGATTAATGCTGATGGTTTCATTTCTGTTTAACTATTAGAATACACTAACGCAACAGGTTTCATCATATATATATTTATAAGCAAAAATGCTACATATTGTATCTTTAAATAAGTGAACTACCACCACAAGATGGGAGTGAACCCTTGGGATTTTTTACTTTTCAGTCAACTTTGTTAAAGGTCCTTTCTATACAAACCCAGATAACTTAATAATTTGCACTTCATTGTATTCTGTTTTGTTTTCCAAACTGTCTGAGAAACCTTCATTTAATTAACCTTTACCTGGCATCATAACTGCGAGGACCTCCTCTGACAAGCTGTGACTACATACAAAAACCCCTCTGCTTCACCTTTACACATTAACTAAGTGACAGTAGCACTTCATTTTCTTTTCAGGTTCAGCTGAAAAGAAATAGGGAAGGTGGCTCACTGTGAGTCTGTTCTTTGTGTTTGGCTGTGTGAGGCTATATCTGTGTGTAATTATCGCCTCTGCCGCAGTGGCGGTGGTCTTGTCTCATTACCATCGTCGCTGGGTGTCCACGCTTTCACTGAACAGCATGATGTCTCCTGCCTCCCAGCCCCTTGAGTTAAGTACATGGACCCAGAGGTGTCCAGTTGTCTCTTGTACACCCCCTACTAAGTTCCTGCCACAACTGTACCCAAGAACCTGCTGCTATCTTGCTGCTAAATCGTAGCCCCTTCCTGCAAATAAGGCCCTATTTTACCTTGGATACAGAGAGTGATGCATTCACTTGGCCAGCCCTATTATTCCCATTGCCTATAATTCTCTCTCTCACTGTGCATTGTTTTCTCTGCCTCTCCCTCTCTCCTTTTGCCTTTTACTTTTTTTTTTGACTTGGTAAAGGGGAGTCGTTACCTCTAGTACATGATAATAAGACCAGTCTGAGGGAGATATATATTTTTTAGAGTAGACTGGCTCTGGAAGACAAGTGTCTGCCGCAGCTTAGGTTGCACGGTGCGACAGTTGAATCAGAGCTGTTTGGGAAGATGTGCTTTGAACTACTGATGCTGCATCAGGGATCTGGAACTGTGCCCTTGGGTGTGTTTCAAAGAACCCTTTCTCACCTCCAGATCACATCTGGCACCTCCAGCCAGAGCTATGGAGGTGCCTGCACTTGCTCAGTGGTAATTGCTAATGGTAATTACCAACCTTTTCTGTGAACCAAGAGGCTTATATAAATAAATGACTGGTGAGCTGGGCATGGCAGTTTTGCAGCAGCACCCTCATATCGCTAACGCTGTCCTTCACATTAATTCCACCATTGGGACCTTGACTGGATCTCAGGTTCTCTGGCTCACGGGCCACACCTATTATTTTCAACTGCTGAGGCTATTAACCAGTGCACTCGTGTGCTGCATGGTGGCAGTATTTAATTTTTTTTTTTTAATTTTGGGTCAGTACGCCAGTTCTCCTTAGTTCCCCAGTCAGTTCTCCGTCATTTACTCCAAAGCCTCATGTGCACGAATACCTCCTGACCCCTTTGCAACTCTTTTAGAAGCCATGTGTAGCCAAGTGAACTAATACTACGCATGGAAAGGGTTTAAAAAGAGGGAATTGTGTTTTTGACTGGTTGCCTGTCTACCGGAGGTCTGTTGTAGGGTTGTCATGGTGATGACTAGACCTCGCGTTTTGGGGGTATACTGTCCCTTTAAGAGCCGCCGTAAGCCAGAGCACGCATGCACTCAAGTTTGTGTCACACTGAGCGCTGTGAGCGGGAGCACTGGAGAGTTAGAGACTGCAAAAGATTCTGTGGCTAGCTACACACGAGGTAAATGTGCTAAAAAGTGTAGCATACTGCAAAATATTGTCACCAGTGTTGTAGTAGACTGTAATTAGCTAAGTTTCTTTAGCAATGACTCCATGTTTGTGACCATTTCTGTACAGTTCTTAACGCGCGACGGGTGCATGTTTAATGGTCACGTGCTGTGAAAGGGACTGAAGAGCGGGTTGGCGTGAGTAGTTACAGTGTCCTAACAGATTTCAAAGTTGTTAAGTTTATACTTTTTCTCACTTTGCATAACTCTGTATGTTTCTGTTTGATTCAGAGGGGAGATCACTTGCTGTGTGATTCCTGCGTGTGTACTTGTCCTAGCACAGTAGCTGTGTGGAGAAACCGAAGTGAGTTCATGATGTTCTCCCATAGAAATGTATGTTTAAAAGAGAGTTTACAGTGCACTTTATTGCCAGTTGACCTGCGAAGTTGTGGGATGTAAACAATGTGTTTATTTGTTTTGTTTTCTCTTTTTTTGTTGTATTTGTTTCTTGACAGGTCACTACTGTTGTCTATACTGTTTGGATTTAACATGTACATATGATAGTTACTGTTGTCTCAGACCCTGAAAGGCAGTTTAGGCTGGGCCAGTGGAATAGTTAAATTTTGCCGTTTCACTCAAAACTACAGAATTAAAACTGTGCTCCTCCGAGTACAGTCGGAGAATAAAAAAGCCCACAAAAGAGTATTTCCTGTGTCCTGTCTCATTCCCCATGACCGGGCCACATAGTTTGGTGTCAGAAGTGGGATTCTCAGGTTAGTTTTGAGTTTCAGTATAGAGAGACACAGTGAGTGGGGCTTTATAGACAACAGTAGTGGCTTAGAAGATCCCAGTCCTTCCCAGAGGGCGGCAATCGCAGTGTGGACGTCCTGAGGTGGTTCGGTGCAGTGGCAGTTGGTACAACAGGAGCCTGCTTCAGCCATTGGACGAGGAGGGCGCCTGACACAGATTTTGGACTGTTGAATCTCATCTACAAGTGACTGTGGGAATCTGCTGCAGTAAAGACTCAGAGACATTGCAGTATGTCGCAAGAGGACGAAGGGGAAGGTCCTTCAGGGGCCGGAGCTATCCCCACTGAAGACAGTCAAGCTGCCTCGTTGTTTGACAGTGCAGGTAACCCGTTGGTGGAGCTACAAACAAAGATTAACGAACTGAGTAGGAAACATGATGCTGTTATGTCTAGTATTGCTAACATGGGTAATGTTCCAACCAGATCTGTCGTGTACATTCCAAGAGAAAAGGTGATTGTACCTTTTAGTGGGGAACCAGCTAAAGATGCTTACACTGTTGATGAATTCATAGAAGAGGTGGAAAGAGCAATAAGAACTAGGGGTCTGCGTGGAGAGGATCAAACCGACTTTATCCTCTCACAGCTGAAAGGGTCTGCCCTAGAGGAAGTTAAGTTACGTATGGCAGGCCAGGTGAAGCAACCGAGTGATCTCTTTTCATATTTGAGGGAGGCATTTAGAGAGAAGCGCACCACACCACAGCTCTTGCATGCTTTCTATGCACGCCGCCAACTAGATGGGGAAGACCTGCGAGATTATTCACATGCACTCTCTCAGTTGCTCAATGCTGCAATACAGCAGTCCCCTAATGTAGTACCCAACACACAGCTGGCACTTCGGGATCAATTCATTGAAGGTGTGCATGCCCCAAATCTTCGGCGTGAACTACGTAGGCTCACTAGGGACAAGCCTGAGTGTAGTCTCTTTGATGTTAGAGAGGAGGCAATCATGTGGACTATGGAAGATCGTCCACGCAGCACTAATGTGGCCAGACATAGAAATATAGTGAGTGACAGGCCAGATGAAAGCTGTGAAAAGACAACCTCCACCAGTGATGTACAGACAGACTTTACCATGGCTCTGCAAGAGATGGTTAAAATAATCACACAACAGGGTAAAGCCATAGGGGAGTTAACTAATGCAGTGAGGGAGCTCACAACACAGACTGCCAGTTCTGAAGACAGTAGAGGTGTTAAAGCTAAGCCCAAGCCTAAGTACACTAGAGAGGGCCAGCCTATTTGTCTCCGATGTGAAGGGGTGGGACATATGGCCAGACACTGTAATGCACCCCAACAACCTACGAGCCAGTCTGCAACCATGTCCAGTTCCTCGCTAACGGGAAACGGGAACCCTCCATTGCTATGAGCCGGGCAATGCGAGGCAAATCAGAAGGCTCAAAGGAAGCTCTAACCAAGGAACATTTTCTAGAACATGCTGTTGGTCAGTGCCCTGAAGTAGATATCCAGATAGGTGGTGTATCCCTTAGATGTCTGCTTGACACAGGAAGTAATGTAAGCACTTTGACAGAAAGCTTTTTCAGAAATCATCTCCAGGGAGAGGATGAGGATATGCACTGTACTGCCAAGTGGCTTAAAATCACAGCAGCCAACCAGTTGCCGCTGCCCTATTTAGGCTATGTAGAGTTAGATGTACAGGTCATGGGGCTCACTATACCTGAATGTGGTTTTCTTATAATCAAAGATGATAAAACAGAAAGAGACAATCCCAAATGGTTGGATTTGTCACCCCATGGCATTATAGGGATGAACATTGCAAAACGATGTAGACAGTTAGTACTCTCAGAGTTTGACACCACTCTAGGGGGAGAGCTGGAGTCCAGCTGGAGGAAGGCCTGCCACTGCGTACAAGCTGCTGAGCTTGTGGAAAAGGTGTCTACTGCCCGTGTTGCAAGCAAACACAAAGTGCGGGTGCCTGCCTCATCCCTGACCACTGTCTATGCAAGGGGCCATGGCAAGCAGTTTGGTAGCGCATTGGTTGAACCAGGGAATGTTCAGCTCCCAGGTGGCTTATTGGTGATCCCAACTCTAGTGTCAACTAACAGCCTGGTATTCCCAGTACAGGTGATGAACATCTCACAAGAGGATGTCTGGCTTCCACCTAAGGCTAGACTAGGCATTATTAGTCCTGGCCGCTGCATTGAGGGTGACCCATGCGAGGTGAAATTTGAGCGCATATCTGCCAACCACGAGGAGGTGACTCTTAACCAAAAGGACTGTCAGGGGGCCAACAGCTGCGTACAGGACTTATTGGGAAGATTACACATAGGTGGCACACCAGGACAACAGGCCGAGGTCAGAACTCTTTTGAAAAGGTATGCGGATGTTTTTGCACTTCATGATGAGGATTTGGGGTACACTGATCGTGTGAAGCATGAAATTCCTGTTGTAGATGAAGCCCTGTTTCTCAGCCATACAGGCGCATTCCACCAAATCAGTACAAAGAGGTCAGGGAGCACATTTCTGAACTGTTGAGAAAGGGGGTGATTCAGGAGAGTTCGAGTTCCTATGCTTCACCAGTTGTTCTGGTACGCAAGTCAGATGGGAGTCTTAGACTGTGTGTAGACTACCGCAGACTAAACGCGAAGACCAGGCGTGATGCGTTTCCACTCCCTCGCATTGAGGAGAGCCTGGATGCCTTGAGTGGTGCAGAGTTCTTCTCAACCATAGATCTTGCCAGTGGCTACCATCAGGTAGCGGTACATGAGAAAGACAGAGACAAAACAGCCTTTACCACACCATTTGGCCTGTATGAATACTTAAGGATGCCTTTTGGGTTATGTAATGCCCCCGCGACGTTTCAACGTCTTATGCAGGCCACAATGAGTGATTTGGTCTTTCAGATTGTATTGATCTACTTGGATGATCTGCTTGTGTTTTCATCAACATTCCAGGATCACATTGTGAGACTGGAGACTGTTTTGAAAAGGCTGAGGGATACGGGGCTGAAGGTTAAGGTTGAGAAGTGCCATTTCCTCCAGCCCAAGGTCAAGTTTCTCGGTCATGAAGTGTCGGCTCAGGGAATAAGCACAGATCCTGACAAGATAAGCGCTGTGGCAAAATGGCCCATCCCTAGTACTGTGAAAGAGCTAAGGTCCTTTTTAGGATTTTGCAGCTACTATAGGAGATTCATTGAGGGCTTTTCCCAAACTGCGGGGCCACTCCATGATGTGGTGAATGTCTGTGTTAAGGAGATAAGTCCTGTCAGGGCTAAACAGCTTTTTGCTTCAGCCTGGACACCGCAATGCTTACAAGCTTTTGAGTTGCTTAAGGGAAAGTTGACTAGTGCCCCTGTTCTAGGCTATGCTGACTTCAGTCTCCCTTTCACGCTGGAAACGGATGCTAGCAGTCTTGGATTAGGCGCTGTCCTGTCTCAGAAGCAGGGGGGAAGGAATAAAGTCATAGCTTATGCTAGTAGGAGGCTCAGAGGGGCTGAGAAGAATGATCAAAACTTTAGCAGCATGAAGCTCGAACTCCTAGCGTTAAAGTGGGCAGTCACCGAAAAATTTAGGAGTTATCTGCTGGGGTCCAAGTTCACAATCATAACGGATAACAATCCCTTGTGCCACCTGCCCACTGCTAATTTAGGAGCCATTCAACAGAGGTGGGTAGCTCAGCTGTCTGTGTTTGACTTCGATGTTAAGTATCGCCCTGGCCGCTGCAACACTGCCGCTGATGCCCTCTCTCGGCAACCAACAGTTGACACGGCAGAACCTGACAGTGAGGATGCAGAATATGATGGCTCTATAGCCATATGTAATGTGCTAAGGGCAGGTACAAGTCTAGGCTCAGATCTTGTCATGGCTGGAGTTGAGGCTTGTAGGATCAGACTGCTGCAGGCCTCCGAACCAGATGGGGAAGCAGTCAGTGAGGCTGTGCTGGGCAACACCCCAACGATGCCTGGTTATTCCAATGCAGAACTCTATCGCTTCCAAGTGTCAGACCCAACAATTGGTGTCTTGAGAGAGTTTTGGAGCAGACAGAAGAGACCCACCTACAGAGAGAGAGGGGGTCTGTCTAAACCGGTACGTTCTCTACTGAAGCAGTGGCCTCGGATCAGAGAAAAGGATGGACTGCTATACCGTGTAATTGAAGATGCTCACCTTGGACAGTGCCATCAGCTGCTACTACCTGCCTGTCTTAAAGAAAAAGTGCTCAGGAGTGTGCATGATCACATGGGACACCAGGGAATCGAACGCACACTGGGATTGTTGAAACAAAGATGTTTCTGGGGAGGCATGTTTGAAGATGTTGAGCACTGGGTGAAGAAATGTCAGAGGTGTGTGTTAACAAAGATGCCTCAACCCAAAGTTCAGGCACCCCACGCTCCATTTTTGGCTACCCGCCCACTTGAAGTTGTTGCTGTTGATTATACCACCCTTGAGCGGGCTACAGATGGTCGTGAAAACGTTCTTGTAATGACTGACGTGTTCACCAAGTTCAGTCAGGCATTTGCCACACGAGATCAAAAAGCAGATACCACAGCTAAGGTTATCCTGAAAGAGTGGTTCCTGAAGTATGGGGTACCAGAGCGCCTGCACTCAGACCAGGGCAGGAATTTTGAAAGCGCAGTGATTGCTGAGCTATGCAAACTGTATGGAGTGAAGAAAACGCGTACAACACCCCACCACCCTCAGGGTAACCCACATTGTGAGAGGTTCAACAGGACTTTACACAACCTCTTGCGTACGCTTCCCCCTGAGAAGAAGCGGCGCTGGCCCGAGCATCTGTCAGAGCTGGTGTATGCTTACAATGTCACGCCGCACTCAACGACAGGGTATTCTCCCCATTACCTGCTGTTTGGGGTCCACCCACATCTACCCGTTGATGCATTGTTGGGCCGGGAGGAAGTGAAGGATGACAAACTGGACTGGTTAGCAGTGCACCAGGAGCGTCTCCAGGATGCACATGCCAGAGCCAGAGAATTTGCCGAACGGAAGGCTGCAGAGAGAGTGGTTCAGCAGCAAGGAAAGGTGTTCTGTCCACCTGTTGACATCGGACAGTTTGTGTATCTCCGTTACCGACCACCAGGAAGGAATAAAATTCAAGATGCCTGGGCAGCCCCTGTGTACAAAGTGGTTGATATCCAAGGGACAACATACACAGTAGTGCCACTGGAAGGAGGGCCGGTGAAAAGAGTCCACAGATCTAACTTGAGGCCATGTGTGGGGTCTATACCTGCACCCAACCCAAGGCTACGTGACCAGGAAGTCAGTTCTGCAGATGAGCACCAAGTGTCTGATACGGAGCTTGAGCATCCAGAGTTTGCCTTGATGGAGGAGGTCCAGTACCCAATGGAGCTGCCAGTGGCTCAGGGACCTGGGAACTTGGTTCCGACGGTCAACGAGCCTGGAAACCAATTGGAGAATGGAACTGAAAATATGGGTGAGGATCTGCTAGGGCAAGAGAGCAGCGACAACCCTGATGACCTCGAGGTGGAGCCAGCAGCTTACCTTCCACCTGGGCCAGGAAGCATTGGATTCTCCAGTGAAGAACCGGTGGCAAAACCTGTTCCAGCTCCTAGGAAAGGAAAGAAAGAGAAAGCGGAGGCCGGTCCACCCACACCTGCTACACGCAGGAGTAGGAGAGAAACTGCAGGGGTCCACACAAACCCATTTAGTCTACCTAGGTCAACATGCAATGCAGTATCCTTCAGTCCAGATGTACTCTCCCAGGTGTTAGCCGGTATGGTTCTCTACACCACCAAACTCAGGGGAATGGTGGATGAGCAGGGGGTCACCGAGGACGTTGACTCGTAGCAGGGGAGAATGTAGCCAAGTGAACTAATACTACGCATGGAAAGGGTTTAAAAAGAGGGAATTGTGTTTTTGACTGGTTGCCTGTCTACCGGAGGTCTGTTGTAGGGTTGTCATGGTGATGACTAGACCTCGCGTTTTGGGGGTATACTGTCCCTTTAAGAGCCGCCGTAAGCCAGAGCACGCATGCACTCAAGTTTGTGTCACACTGAGCGCTGTGAGCGGGAGCACTGGAGAGTTAGAGACTGCAAAAGATTCTGTGGCTAGCTACACACGAGGTAAATGTGCTAAAAAGTGTAGCATACTGCAAAATATTGTCACCAGTGTTGTAGTAGACTGTAATTAGCTAAGTTTCTTTAGCAATGACTCCATGTTTGTGACCATTTCTGTACAGTTCTTAACGCGCGACGGGTGCATGTTTAATGGTCACGTGCTGTGAAAGGGACTGAAGAGCGGGTTGGCGTGAGTAGTTACAGTGTCCTAACAGATTTCAAAGTTGTTAAGTTTATACTTTTTCTCACTTTGCATAACTCTGTATGTTTCTGTTTGATTCAGAGGGAGATCACTTGCTGTGTGATTCCTGCGTGTGTACTTGTCCTAGCACAGTAGCTGTGTGGAGAAACCGAAGTGAGTTCATGATGTTCTCCCATAGAAATGTATGTTTAAAAGAGAGTTTACAGTGCACTTTATTGCCAGTTGACCTGCGAAGTTGTGGGATGTAAACAATGTGTTTATTTGTTTTGTTTTCTCTTTTTTTGTTGTATTTGTTTCTTGACAGGTCACTACTGTTGTCTATACTGTTTGGATTTAACATGTACATATGATAGTTACTGTTGTCTCAGACCCTGAAAGGCAGTTTAGGCTGGGCCAGTGGAATAGTTAAATTTTGCCGTTTCACTCAAAACTACAGAATTAAAACTGTGCTCCTCCGAGTACAGTCGGAGAATAAAAAAGCCCACAAAAGAGTATTTCCTGTGTCCTGTCTCATTCCCCATGACCGGGCCACACATGCCTCTCAAGTCATTCTTTGAGCTTCGATGCTACACTCCCACCACCGATAGTCCATCTGCTGAGACTGGAGAGTCCTCGCTGCATGACTAGTTCCCCCCCTTGGGCACTCTCAACAAGGCCACCTGCACTGCACAGACAGAAAATGGCTGTAGTGAGATTTGCCTCCAGCGCAACCCCTCCACATCTAAGTTGGAGGCAAGTTGACTTCTTAAGACTGGAGGGATTCTGCGTTGCCTCCCACTGTGGAGAGAGTTGATGTGAAAGCACTAGAGAAAGAGACAGAGGGAGGTGGGATGGAAGGTGGGTGAAAACTGTATGCGATAGAAAGTGAACTGAAGTCTTTCCTAATTAGGCACTGGGCCTTCACTCAGCACATTTATAGTCTAATAAAGCATGGAGGGTATGTGGTGCACTGTGATTAAACAGACGTTTGCTTTAATACATGGTGGCTGGAGCAGTACGTGGGGGCTGGTTCTGGATATGTGCCACAGACATGAACAGCCCCTGCTCATCTTCTGGACTAATTATCCCAATGTTCTCGTCTTCATGATTTTAGCGCTCGGCAGACAGCAGGATGAGGCCCGAGCAAGCCAAGGCAGCCACAGAAATTGTCAAAATCATTTAATCCATCTCCCGAGCATGCTAATGTAATTGCTTTTTGATTAATGACGACGTTGGGAAAAAAAGATGAGCGTGCTGTTGTTGTTGTCAGATTATAGTTCAATGAGATGTCTTAGAGTGATTGGTTGTAAACATATCCCTTCATTTCAGATTTTAATGAAAGACCGCACTTGGAATCTTCATGAAATGTCATTTTTAATAATTATGCTTTGAGGTTCATCAAAACGTTGTAGCAAGGCTTTTGAACCTGCCTCTTCCCTCCAACAGAAACACTCAAAAGTTCCCTTTTCCTCTATGGCTGTTCATAAAAACTATTCACTTTATTTAAAAATGTATCATTATTATTGCCATTTCCAAGATACAGCTCCTCTTTGGGGATAACTATTAATGGTAGATGATTGGTGGTAGCTGGTCTCTGGAAAGCATCACACGTTGCACAGGTAGAACTTTCTATAGTAAGATGTAATCAGAACATTGAACTTATTCTTTATATAGGTGATGTATAATTTTGCATGCATGGATTTATTGCATTTTCTTATTCCACACTGCACTGATGTCTTCGTGTATTGGGAAAGTAATGCGTTATTCATGATCCAAAAAATAATTACACAAAAAGAGGTAAAGGATTTAGAGCTCTAAAAAAGAAATGGTACCGCAGAAAGAACAACACCACCATCACATCAATGATATGTGATTTAGCTGCTTTGGTTTCAGGGTCCTGATTCTGATGCTGACTCACTACCATACTGTAGTGGCTCAGTGGGACATTTCAATAAACTGAGCCATTTTGTCCCATTAGTAACACCTGTGCTTTTCTTGCTATAGTAAGTCATACTGTTCATTGAGCAAAAGGCCCATTATTCTGATTTTAAACCTTTTTTGTGCACATACAAGCAAAGTGTTTTCTAAACCGTTCTGCTCTGTTGGTTTATTTTTTTTCGGGGTATTTTTTCCAAGCAGGTAATGGTTTTGATTCTGAATACAATGCAGCAGCCCACGGGTTTACATATATTTTCACATGTTTATAAAAACTGGATTTTGTGACTGTTTTTGAGCAAATCCACATTACCTATATTAAATTACATCTTTTGTGTAATATAAAGTAAAGACTATGGCCATGATGTCTTAACCCTTTAAAGCCACGTGTATCGTATTTGATACATGTGTTTTTGTGAGTTTTTGAGACTTTTACATCATCAGCGTGACTTTTTTTACCCTCTAATATGATATAAATTCTATGACACATTTTTAATGACTAAATTGCAAAAATATGGCTAATGTAGCAAATGTGATACAAATTAAACGTATATATGCAGATTAAAATTTTCTATATTTTTATAGAAACACGCCATTATCAAAATATTAAAGATATCTGGCAGTTACTTCATGCTTCAGGTTTTAAAGGGTTAAATTTTCCTTTCCCTTTTGGTCCTAAAATATATAGTTTAAAAACTACTGTTCTGAAATATGAATCTGAATTAATGTGTTTCTGAGGCAATTTTTTTTCTCTTTGGAACTAATGGAGTGGAAAGAAATCCCATATTTGTATTTTTGGTCTCTTTTTTCATCGGTTTGATTTTGTTTTTCTTGATGAAACAATATGTAAAACAAGTTTCAGGGGACAGAAAACCAAAAGCAGTCAGATGATCACACAGGTTTCCAAAGTTTTGCAAATTTTCATGAGAAATAAAAACAATTAACATGCGCCATCTTGTACAGATAAACTACTCAATTCAGCGTCGATCCATCCTCATCTTTTTAGTTCAGGGACATTTTGAAATATTTTTACGACCGCACGGTAGAAGGACTTTTACAAATGTAGTTCGACACATTTCTGGACCTATTTTAATTATTTGCCTTTTTTTCTGTTTTTCAGTACATTAATAAAAGAATATCGTTCGTCACTGATTTCTAAACCATATCTGTCTTGTTTACATCCAATCTGACTGCTTGCATTTTACTGTAATGAGAATTAATGACCCAAACTATCAATTGCTATCCTTTATGCTTGCCTTCAGGCAGAGCAGTTGCTATTAATTCCCGATGTAAGTGAAACTACAGTGGAAAGATGCAGAACTTTCTCATCACTCTGGCAGAATTCCAGTTCTTAAGACTGAACTGTTTTATGAACACTTTTTGTGGTGCAATAAAGAGGCACTGCAGTGACCGCAGGTTCTTTTACATTTTAACTCACCGACAGCTGCAGTCTTCTGAGGTTTAGAAGTGGAGATGTCGGCAGTATCTGAAAGCATTTATGCAAGCACAAGGAAGAGGGAGAAGCAGGAGGGAGGGACTGCACATGGAGTAACTGTGGCTCTGACAGACAGAGTTGAAGCTAGTCTCCGGTTCTCAAAGGGAGCCTGCCTATCTTTTGTAGAGACAGAGACTGCAGGCTACCATAGTCAGATGCAGAGCTCAACTACTAAAGGAAAGTTAATAGCTTGGCCTCCCTCAGACAAATAGCAGGGAGAAGACGAAAAGAGAGAGAAGGACGGAGAAGAGGAGAGGGACAGGGATGCGATGTGGTAAGGGTCCATTAGCATTCCTCCTCTCAACCTGACACTGACAGCTGACACTGACCCAGTGTCCAAGGTGAGCAGGAGACATGGCACAGGAAGCAGAAACCCCCAAGAGGCAAACCACCGTGTGTTTTTGCGCTGTTCTCTGTTTCCTTTGTGGTTGCAGTTGAGTGGATTCCAAATGTCACAGTTCTATGACACATGTTGATGACTTTGACCCTGTTACACCTCAGCCATACCTTCCCTTTGTCACTTAAAGCTGCACAAAGCAAGGAATTATAAACGAAAAGAATACCTTCTCGTCTCGGTTTCAAATCACGAAGGGATAAAGTTGAAAAGAATGTCTCATCTAGCACAATTAAATGCTTTACTGACTCACCTAAAATTTGTGCGTCAAGTGTGGTCACCTTTCGCTCGAACTCGAACTGTGTTGGAAAAAACTGATCCATCAATTCATTAAGTCTTGTTTTTTTGTTATAAAATAAAGCAAAATATAACTACCTTTGCCATGCTTATGCTTTAAGCATTCGTCTTTATCAACTTTTTTGCTTTTATTGTTTTTTTCCACAAGTATGTAAAACGTAAATTACATCCCCACTGTTTTGCAGAGCCTTCAGTTTAATTGCACACATAGTACTCATCAAATGTTGAAAGGGAGAATATTTTAAATTTGAAGCCAGCAGCATATTTTCAAAAATGGGGACAAGGAGTATGTTTACCACTATTTCATCACATCTTTCCTTCTCGCTCCGTAGACTTTCAGTTGCTAAAGAGTTCGGGGCCTCCTTTGTCCCAGTTTTTGTTTTACTACAGAGACATGCTGTTGTATTACACTGAACTGAATTTAGATAGCTATTTATTTATTTCTTTTCTGCTGAACCAAATGAGCCCTTTTCAGAAATAAAGGCATTGTGTGGAGAGTAGCACATGCCGCTCCAACATCTGTGCATAAAGTTCAGTATTAATGGTGCCTTCACAGAGATTGCACTTAAAGACTTAGGGTAAAGGTAAAAATACACTCTACGTACTGTGAGCATACTGAAGCACATTTGAGCAGTTAGTTTCAGCTCCACTGTGACTGCCAGTTGAGTGACAGTGGAGTTGAACTGGGCATGGTAAACATGTAAGCCCCTTTTCCAACAGTACCTATTCGGACTGACTCGCCATGGATCGCCACAAATTGACTTGGATTGACTAGTTTTCCATTACGATCCCGTACTACCTAACGTGCGTGGTTGTCGTCATAGCAACACGTCCACACTTCCCTTGACGTAATTAATATGCGCCATGAGCACTACAAAAAAGGTGGACGTTGAGGCAAAAATATACTCGCTGCTTGGTCTGTGGCTTTTCTTTCAGACTTGGGGAACACAGCGTTGTTTTTTGTACCCAAAAAATGGCGATTTTAATTTTTGTGAAGGAAACACTCTCATGACTCAATTAGTGACGCCACTGACCAGCCAATCAGTGGGATGCAGTCTTATGACACATTTTAGTCACATTTTAGTACCTGCTTGGATAGCTTGGAACCCCTGCCGAACAGGTACCTGGTACGACGTACTATGACCTAACTGAAAATCCTGAAATCGCACAGAGTTGATCTGATTAGATACTAATGGAAAAGGGGCTGTAGTGTCATCCCTAGCTGTACCTGATCACAGAACGTCAGTGCTTCCTCAACAGTGATGGGCGTTACTTTTTTCCAGTAACGAGTAATCTAACTAATTACTATTCCTATCGTTACAACGCCGTTACAGTTACTAACAAGAAAATGCGGTCCGTTACTATTTTTCAACAAACAGATGGTTGAAGCTGTG